AACACATTGGCTTATGTAATCAATTGTTCTTTGGAATAAACTTATACCTGGACTTGAACATTACAGTGTGGCGCTTCAATTCTAAACTGATTCAACTTCATCACAACCCAAGATGGCTGTAGAAATCCATCAATGGGTAGAAGCTGCCAGCCTTATATCCAGATCATCCAATAGTCACACCACCATCATACTGTTATGGGACAACAATACAAAATGAATATCTAATAAGACTCGACAGTACAGCACCTTGAATCCACTTCCTTAGCAATCAAAACCTGACAGGAGTTTCCAATATTTTACCCCTCCATACAACACTATAAAACATAAAAAAAAGTTTTGGCTATACATACAATTTAACCACCACCAAAAAAAAAAAAAAAGTCTCTCTCTCTCTCGAGACTTATTCCCCAAAAAATGCTGCTTCTGCAAGGCAATGTGAAATGGAAGTATTACAATTGTGTACAGACTTATTTATTTGTAGAATACGTGCTACAATGTTTCTAACAAATGCCAATGAATCATCTTTGCTAAATGTTTCAAAGTGGCAAAGCTGTTTTTGTATCTCCTTGTTGAAAGGTTTTCAAAGGTTCCAGTTGAAAAAAGTAATAATAATAAAAAAAAAAAAACTTAGTGAAAATTTGTGTGCTGGTCTTTTTTTCTTTACTAATTCACCATTTCCGTTTCCCATCAACATGTGATGGGCAACCTACTGCTCTGAGAAGGTGTGGAGGAGAAACTGAATAGTAGCTAGGAACAACAAAAACAATTGTTGCCTCCAATGCTTAAACTAATAACTAGGGATCCACTGATACCGATACTAGTATCAGTGCCAAGTATTCGGCAGAGTACTCGTACTCGCCCAAATGCTCCGATACTTACCTTCAATATCAGAACTTGCGGTCAGATGGGGATCTCCCTCTGACCGGCAGTACCGAGGGAGTATGGACCCGGCTTCCTTTCCAATCAGGAAGCCGTGTCCCGTTTCCTGATTGGTCAGAAAGCCATGCTGCCTAGCAACAAGTGAAGCCGGCTTCCTAGCCAATCGGGGAGGCGGGTCATGATGTGCCGCCTGGCTTCCTGATTGGCTAGGAAGCCGGCTTCACTTGTTGCTAGGCAGTGAGGCTTCCAATCATGACCCACCACCTAGCTTCCTGAATGGTCAGGAAGCCAGGCAGCCTCGGGAAGTGAAGACTGTTCTTTCGATAGAACACCAGCTTCCCAGGCAATCAAATCGGGAATCTGGGCGGTAGGTCATGATCCGCTGCTCGGCTTCCTGATAATCGGGGCAAACGGCACTGGTATCAGTATTCGGGATCGGCGAGGACCCCCCCCCAAAAAAAGCACTACTCGATACCAAAAAACTCGGTGCATCCCTACAAATAAGGCCTGGGGGAAGGTGGGAGATCAAGTGAATAACTAAAGCTCACCATACACCAGTAGAAAAATGTGTTCAATTTTCTAATAGTTAATTGGGTTAAATTGATGATCCATTTAGACCGTAGTGATGAAAAAAAATCAAAGGAGCAGAATGGAAAAATTTTCTCGAACAAAATTTCTAAAATGTGAATAAGGCTTTTTGTTCAGGAAGCTCCATTCATTGCAAAATCAAATGGAACTTTGTACAAAAATCTCATCAGAACATTCGATAATGCCATCAGTGTATGTCCAGCCTAAGGGGGGTAACCAAATTACCTGACAACATACAAAAAAAAATAGCAAATATGCATTTTAAAGAAAGCATTAAAATTAAACAAAACACAGTATTCTAAATGACCCCTTGGACGGCATGGTCAATGGTTCCTGAACATTAGGTATGGCCCTATACTTAGACATCTTAACATGTGACTGGCTGCAGTGGGATCCCAAAGCAGCAGCTTGTCAAGCTGGGGGAAGTACTTTTTTTTTTTTCTTTTTGCCTTCTGCTACCACCTATGGGTTTTAAGGAAGAGACAAACGGGAAATCTTAATTTTAAAAAGAAATATGACACTAACCCTCCCCCATGGTCTCCTAATGTTCTCATCCATAGTATGGCTCTTTCACCTTACCACACTTAGGGGCTGATGTACAAAAGTTCTGCCCAATGTATAGCCAGGCTAATGTCATTCTCACGGCCTTCCCACTACTAAATGCAGCCGAAAAGCATATGTATCTCCTATACTGGATATCCTCCAGCCAGGAAATGTGGCAGCCTCTGACTTCCTGTAGCTTCTAATGAGAAGCTCACAGTGTGCAGTGACATCAAGGTAAGACATTTCAGCACAGGAGAGCAGTCTGTACAACTGCGCAAGGCCGGAGTTCAGCTATAAGTGTAATTTACATTGTGTAGATGTCACGAGTAAGAGGTAACACACCTTGACGGTAACATTCCAGGTCCTAATACTACACATTCAGGGCTTAGTAAGCTTTCAGAAATTCTGCAAATACCAAAATATCAATGTTCAAAGGAGGAGCCCTGTCTAGCCTTCAGGAGCTTATGCAGGAGAAATTCCAATCATGTCAGAGTGACAGATGGGTCTTATTACATGGGAGGATATGTGGACAGTGACTCAGAAGGAGCGGGCCGAGGTAAGGGGTGTTCATCATACTGAACAATAAACGGAAGGTAATCAGAGGGAAACCATTGTACAAAGAGGACAAATCTGAAGACTTGCGGCCCATTCACTGTTGCAGTGCGTAGGCCACCCTATTCATTATGAATGGACTAGTGTGCACCACAACTAATGAAACAATGTGCATGACCCTTTTTCCCCCCCAAAGCGGCACAAGGCGCGGTACAGTGGTACCTCGGTTCACAAACTTAATTCGTTCCATGATTCTGGTCACGGACCGAATCAAACTGTGATCAGACCGTGATCTCGACTAGAGGAAGCCACGACCATGTGTCAGAGCAGGGAAGATGGCTGCGGTTGTGTTAGTCACCCGATGCGGAGTTTGTGAACGGAAGCAACATTTTGCCCGAACTTCCTGTTCGCGAACCGAATTGTTTGTGAACCGAAGTAACACTGTATATGCATTATGGTGTGCTGCATTGTGCTCTATATACAATACAATGGTGCCACTCACAATGCATGGCACTGCAATGTACTGCACATAGAGCATTGTGGCAATGTGCCCTAAAACACACGCTTTAATGCCCATTTACAAGTGTGAGTGGGTTAAAGGGAACATGGCTAACACGGCACAGCTCTAAATGATCATGCCTGTAATGTAGACGAGCACAGGGCCACCATCCGGGACTTCCTTCTGAAGATGCTAATTGCCTGGCAGTCGATAACATTAAAACATTTAAAGCCTTTGAAAATATAATTTTTTTTTTGATCATCAACATTGAGTTGCATACAATAATCCATAAAACAATACAAATATTAAGGCTGTTATTGTAATAACAATGCTCTCTAAAACTTGGCCATCGCTTGCTGGAATCAGCTACTGTACGGATGTCAAACAATCAAGAATAAGTGAACTAAATAATTCTTTCTGGCAGAATATTTCTCCAGCACACTGGACATTGTTCCTCATTTGTACCATTGTACACCTGGTATTGATTATTAAATAAAAGCACAATTCTATAAGGATAAAAAAAAGAATATATTTCCTCCTAATGTACAGAAACATTCAAGTCTGAAGGAGCTCTAGTATAGTCTAACAGCACCAAATATTTGGATACAGTTAAAGAAATCTCACCTACCCAGTTCTCCGGCTGCATCCCCGTCACAGGTGCAGACAGAACAAGTGCGTGTCCACCTTCTATCAGTTCAGCTCAAAAGATAGCCGCACACCACCGGATCTTCAGATAATAAATCCAATAATGCATACCACAGACGTGACACCCCCCCGCCCCCCGAATCCAACAAATGTATTTTACGCATTTCACCGACTAGGCTTAGAGTATGACTAAGCTTGATCGGGGAAACGCGTAAGTGACTCTTGCATTGTATTGGGGAGCACGTCTGTGGTATGCACTTTTGTATTACATTGTATTTATTATCTGAAGATCCAGCGGTGTGCAGCTATCTTTTGTGCCTGGATTTTAAAAAATAGCTGTCCACGCACATCACAATTTGATTGTACACTCTCCTATAGATTTGTGAGCAGCCATGTAATGCAATGCCTTACCTTAGAGTATTCAAGCACCTTAACTATTAACAAAATGTATTGTATTTGTGTATCACTTGGCTGTAGATCCTCAAATCATCTCTGAATTGGTGCTGACACTGTCCTTCCTTCTGGAGGGGGGCTACTTTTGTTCCCCACGGTCCCTGTGTGTGTTGTAAAGTAGTCACCGCTCCAAGCTCACTCCTGTGATGGACTACAATCTTCAATACAAATTATTAAACTAAATATGAGATTGTAGTCCATCACGGGATTGAGTTTGGAGCGGTGACTACTTTACAACACACACAGGAGCCATGGGGAACAGAAGTAGTCACCCACCAGAAGGAAGGACAGTGTCAGCACCAATTCAGAGATGATTGGAGGATCTACAGCCGAGTGATACACAAATAAGATACATTTTTGTTAATAGTTAAGGTACGCGAATGTATTTTTAAGGTTTAGCTCCTGAGCTTAGTTTCACTTAAGTGTGCACCAAATGCCTTTCCAGGAGGGGGCAGAGACAAGACCAGTTACCCTGCACAAGAAGAAAGAGCAGCAGTCAGTGGTCTTTATTACAGGAAGCTCCAAGTCTCACGCTGGATTATTGCACAGATCTGCAATAAATACACAAAGCGCCGCAGGATCCAAGTAAGAATACACATGGCTTTTCTATGGAGACAATGTGTGTGTAGAGCAGAGTTCAGCTTTAATGTTCCCCGTGATGAGGATACATTAATAAACATCCTCCTTTTGACAGTTACTAAGCCATCACTTTGCATGGCTGCTAGTAAAAAAAAAAAGAAGATGGCAACATGGTTCTGAAAAAGATGCATAAGAATTGTGATTGTTCGTGGAAATGTTTCTTTTGAGGTACTGTAATATTTCATTCCTTTTGGTGCGTGGATGTCTCAGCTGTTATGCTGTGTGATGACAATCCTTCAGCATAACTGCTTCGCTCCTGTGCCCATCTATTGTCGGGAGAGTCCATACATCGTCTCCTATTGCAGATCCTCCAGGATTCATCATAGAAGCAAACTGCGCACTTTCTCATAAGCTCCGAGGAAAATGAAGCCACCGAGGCTGATTGCCGCCATCCTGGGGACCATGCCGGCAAATAGTCTGGGCAGGGAAGAAAGGGAAACCAATGTAAGTCTCAATCCATACACAACAAGCAGTCAAAGGTATTGTAAGTGTCTGGCTATGCTAATCTGCTACATCATTTAACCTACTTCATTAAAGCCCAGGCTGTCATGGACCCGCCCCTACCCTGTGTCTGGATAGTGAAAGGAGAAGCAGCACAGTTATGAGCTCATCTCTCCAACACTCTGCTTTCTCCTATAAACAGCATGCGTCTTGTCACGGATTGGTTCCTTGTACTGCATCCCTTTCTGCCACTCCAGCCCTGCTGTACACGAGACTGACAGTAAGTCAAATTTAGGTACTTACACTGCTTCCATTAAACAAACAGTTAATGATTTATTATTCCAGTGTTTCTCAACCTTTTTTCAGTCACGACACCCTTTAAAAGCATGCAAAATCTTGAGGTACCTTAGTCTGAAATGCCATAGATTTTAAGGAGGCACCCCATGCAAAAACACACAAAACAGAGTTTCCCCCTTCAAATCAGTCACCCTTTACATCAGGAGCCCCCCTTCAGATTAGAAGCCCCTCTTTTATATCAGAGTACCCCCTTTTCACATCAGATTTGCCCCTTTACATCAGGAGCCCCCCTTCAGATTAGAAGCCCCTCTTTTATATCAGAGTACCCCCTTTTCACATCAGATTTGCCCCTTTACATCAGGTGCCCCCCTTCACATCAGAAGCCCCTCTTTTATATCAGAGAACCCCCTTTTCACATAAGATTTGCCCCTTTACATCAGGAGCCCCCGTCACATCACAGTCCCACTACCACAACATTTTGAGGAAGCCAGGAGGCACACCGTTGGGAAAGGCTGTACTATTCAATACAGAGCTGCATTCAGTTGTGTCTTCCATATCTTTATCTCTCTGCTTTAACTTCACATAGTTCTGTGCTCTACTACAGAACAGTTCCTTCTTGTGTAATGGAGATGAGGTGTTCCGTAGTCCAGGGAAGAAGAACTTGGGCAGGGTGGACAACACTTGCTTGGTTCCTGAACCTGTTCCTGAGTGGAGCTCACTGGATATCTGGTCGATCAGCAGGTATTTTTCTATACTTAACGCGCACCTCCAATTTGTTATAACGCTTGATACTGCACAGGTAGTATTTCCCACAGACAGCCAGATGCAGAGAACCCACCAATCAGAACGCAGAGCAGGAAGTCAAACATGAACGGATTCTCTGTGCTGGTTGTGGCACCGACCGAAGTCTCAGAAATTCCGGACGGCTGATGAACGCTGCTCACATCGAGCACCAGCTGGAAACAGTTTAAGGATTCACTAGACAGCACTTAAACCTATTAACATAATTGCAACTCTAAAGCCGAGAAATTTGCATGAGGCTGGCAGGGAGCGAATTCCCCGAGGAGTGCTGAAAAAATATTTTCAAAATATGTTCCTGAGCTCTCACAATGTCGGATTGTCTGTGCAAAGTTTTCAAGATGGGTCATGGAGATAGCCATTGACAGGAGAGGGCTACCAACGGGTTTTACAGAACACTGGCAAGCCTGTGCGCCGGAACGGGAAGGATGAGGAACGGGCCTGCAGAGGCAATTAGATTGCTCCATAAAGTGCTGGAAAAAAATGAATACGGGAAAACTAAAGCTGGCCATGTACCTGGTGTTTCTTATTCTAATTTTGCAAACAATGGTCAAATTTTGGCCAATTGAGCAGGAATCGGATGAAATGTAAGTATTGTATGGCCAGCTTAAGGCTTTCCTTCTAAAAAATGTAGTAGCCTGGGTGTCATGTTGGCTGTGTCATTTCTGAACCCGCTACCTCACTGTCCCTGGACCACCCCTTTTATTCATTGGATTCATGGAGGTTCAGCATTACATGTGGGTGTTACCTTGGGTGGTTTGCATGCAAATGTGGCCTGCCTAGTAATGCCTACTCCTGCAGACTGAGAAGTGGAGAATCACCAGCACTCAGAAAATGTCATCTTGAGATCTTGCTGATCATTTATTGATGTCACATATATCAGAAAAGCCAACGTTTCGGGGGCCACACAGGGTCCCTTCATCAGGGCGACATAGAGGTCAATATAACAGCAAAAGGTTTCCCAGCACACTCACGAGCCAGCATGCAAAAAAAAAAAACCTGCCTAACCGCCAACGTTAAAATCAGAGGTTTTAAATACACGTCTTTTGCAGAAAATGTGAAAGCCGCACTGCCTCGTCCAAGCACCTCTGTGTCGTGCGGTCCTAACTCTAACCTATGAGAGACTCCATCTTGGAGCACATGTAGAAAAATATAAAATTGGGTGCAGGTTCGCCAGGAGGCAGCCTAACCTTCTTAAAGGCGCAGGAACACACAAGGGACCCCGCACATCACAACGGCACCTGAAACCCCCAGTGTGTCACTGCAGGTCAGTATGTCGCCCTGATAAAGGGACCCTGCGTGGCCCTGAAACTTTGGCTTTTCCGATACATGTGATATCAATAAATGATCAGTATTTTCTGAGTGCTGGTGATTCTCCACTTCTATGTACTTGAAAACACACGGCGCCATCAGTGTTCATCACTGCGAAGCACCCCATTGCCTATTGGTTACATATTTACATAGTTACATAGTATTTGAGGTTGAATAAATACATATGTCCATCAAGTCCAACCTATTGTGTGTATGTGTATGGTGCTACTGATGTGTGCATATGTATAGGTCCCTGTGTTCTCATTCTTAAAAGTACTTGTACCCCTGTATATTACGGTCCCTGAGGAAATCGTCCAATCGCCTCTTGAATGATTCCACACTCTTAGCTGAAATCACAGCATGTGATTCTAGATGCTTTAAGGAGTGTAGGGGAAACATCCATACAAAACGATTCTCCTCCAGACTGACATCCACCATAAAGGCATTTTGATATTTGCATAACTCCTCCTAAGAGCCAGCCTGCTAGTTCCATCCTGGCTGTGGGCTCCTGGGAGAAATACTGAGGCAGGGTGCTGTGATGCTCTCAGGAAGCCACGGACAGCACCTCCCACCAGCTATGATCTGCCTGTATTGCAAAGAGAAGTACAAAGACCCAGTGATGATGTCACTGGGTCTAAAATAGAAATGTAATTTCAAAACTTAACTAGCATATTGATGCTGGGGGGGTGGGGGGAGAGATTGGACCACAGAAGGCAAAATATAAGCAAATTAAACTGCAGCTTTAATATAAATATCTACAAGTACATGATCACATTTTTGTAGTTAGAAGCGTTACGTAACTACTAAAGGAAACTGCGTCTGACTTGGCTTTAAACGCAGCTATACATATGAAAAAAAAACTTGATACCCATCATTTAACAGTTAAAATCCGTCGGCTGCCGGGATTTGTGTGGATCAAAGAGAGCAGCAACTTAAGTGAAATCAGATATATTTTTGCAGTTTTGCCATATGGAATATATAAAGGCAAAACAGTGTAATGGCCGAGGCTGGGTGCAGCTGGCTAGACAGCCCAAATCACATAATTGCTTAATTTTACTTTACAAAAAATGTCCAATGCATTACCCTTTCGGGAAGGTCAGAGGTTAAACACTTGACATGTTCACACCCCGGTGACTAGTCCCCCTCGACTCAAGCTCATAATCTTCTTTCTGATCACTTCCATGTACTGTCACCCTTTAAACGCATCTGTTAAAAGTAAACGTAACTGAAACCTTTTATAAGATGGATATATTTGGATGGCTTTTGCGCGAGAAGAATCGTTTTCTAGTCTGCCAGTTCTTACCAAGTTACTTCAAACTAAACTTCAACTAGAGTGAAAAAAGTGGATTAAGGGTATGCTGCAATCAACATTGAAAGCCCTACTCTAGCCATACCGGATATTTTTCTACTTTTGGTTGGCATGGAGGAGGATTATATCCTTTGTCAGGTTTGAAAACACTATACAGTACATTTCAAATAATACACTAAACAAGGGATGACAGCAGTTACGTACCCAGTAAAGCCTTGTGTTTTCCATATACCTGTAAGGGCAAGGAACACATCTCCTCCTGCAGTAGTTGATCCGGCCTGCAGAAGAAGCAAAAGATTCACCAAAACATTGCCAGTTATTTCCAAGGCAGACAGAAATCCTTATTGCCACCCCACCCCGAACCAAACACACACCGCCAGGATATCTATAAACCAGGGGTAGCCAAATTTTGTCCCTCTAGCAGTGGTGACGCTACAGAGCCATCATGCATTTGCCTCTATGAGTCATGCCTGTGGCTCTCAGACTCTTGCTATGCATCATGGGACTTGTAGTTTCACCACAGCTGGATGCCCAGAGTTTGGCAACCCCTGCTATAAACAATCCCAAAATGCCGTTATCAATGCTTACCCTAGGCGTATGCATGGTCAAAGTGCATCAATGCATAAAAATCAATCAGAAGTAAGTACTTATTTTATCTACATAAACTATCCCCTTCATTCCACAAGGTTTCCCTTCTCTAAGGCTGGAACATCCATCCAGCAGCTTTCCTCCATCCATCCAGCAGCTTTCCTCCATCCATCCCGGCATTCTAACATACAAAATTATCCCAGAATGGGGCTTTAATAGTAAAAATATCAAGTCTGAGCATATAGGCCCTATACAAGATAACTCAGAGTTGGTGAGTGGGGATAAGGAGAAGGCAAATCTATTAAATACCTTACATAGTTACATAGTATTAGAGGTTGAATAAAGACACAGATCCATCACGTTCAACCTTTCTGTGTAAGTGTGTATGTTGTGCGTGCATGTGTGTATATGAGTCACTGTGTGGTCTAGTTTTTAAGAGTACCTGTACCCCTGTGTGTTGCGGTCTCTGAGGAAGGTATCTAATTGATTTTTGAATGATTCAATACTCTCTGCTGATACCACTGCTTGTGGCAGAGAGTTCCAAAATGTAACCGCTCTGACTGAAAAGTCCCCTACGCCCTCCCTTTGTGGATAAATCTTTTCTCTTCCAATTTTAGATGGTGGCCTCTAGTCCTTGTTAGGGAGACCTAACATGTTACCTTCTTCATCTTTGTGTACCCAAAGGACAATAATGAAGCTCAAGTCCAAAATGGATATAGTATTACAACAACCTCAAATGAACCATAATGGCTCAACATTTTTATGGTCCAGAACTCCTCAGGAACCATTTCTAGTCAGCTCAGTTGCACAAAATATAACTGGCTATTACCATTTATAAGTAATAACACCAAAGATTGTTGATCCAACAAATATCCAATTGCCTCAGGTATAAGGAAGGTTTTTTCCTCTGTTGGAGTATATTGGACCATGCTTTATAAAGATTTCCTTGCCTTTCTTTGGATCACTTGTGGGTTGATGGTTCTGCATATGCAGTTTTTTCATTTTATTTATGTATTTATTCATTCATTAGTCTATTGGCTGGACTTGATGGACTTTTGTGGACGTGCCTATTTTTCAACCTAACTATATAACTATGCAATTCCTGGATTGGCATGAGCAATGGCTAAAGGCGGATCTAGACTTGGGCAACCTTACCATTCAAATAGTGTGAGACAAGTCAGTTGTGAATGAGATAGCACTTACAGTAGGTATTCTGCTGATGATCTTTTGCCTAGGCACACTTATTGAGCCTGATGAAGGGACCCTGTGCAGTCCCGAAAGCGGTTGTTTGGTCATATGACAAAAAACTTCAATAAATGAAGCTTTTGCTATCTCAAAAGGACTGGTGTGCTGGTGACATTTCTACAATTTTACACTTCTTTATGTGTCACACTTCCTGTTGCTAGACCCCACCTCCTGATGACATCACCATGCATTTCAGTAATCAGAAGGGGTGGGTGGGATATGTTTGAAGGCTGGCCGAAGGCTAGCCTGGATTTGTGGGAGGAGCCTGTGCCTTTAAAGTCGGCACGGCTCACAGGGGATTCACGTCGGCGGGTCACGAACGTCCCCACCCGCCCATTCCCCTTGCTTTCATTCATTTAATTCATTTCATTTACATTCAGAGTATGCCCCCTTTTAGGCATACTGACCTGAGAAGGCCAAGGCACACCACAGGCCATTGGGGGGAGGCGAGGGGGGGGCGGCAGGGTATCACTTACTTGTTAAGGCTCGGACCACAAACCCTGTTTAAAGGACTACAACAAACTAAGAACCACGGTTTACAAATAAATGTAATCAATCATGCCACAAGAGAATTACAACACCCCCCTTCCCCACAGTTCTTTTATGGTATCATTTTCTTAATTTATAAACTGGGGTTTTGTTAGTCTGTTGTAGCCCAACAAACAGGTTATAAATCACGTTATTTAGTGCAGAGAGACAGCCACTGTGGACTTTCGTGAGTGTTAGAAGGTCAAATATTTTTTCAGTGGGTGGGATTTGTCTATTAATCTTCTGATAGGCACCTTTGAAGCTAGGACAGAGGGTGCCTAGGCACAATCACATGTCTAGAAGTGATCATCATTAATTATATGCTAAAGGTACATTTTTGGAATGACTTGCTTGGCCACATTTAATTATGCTAATCCTAACTTTAGATTTTAGGCACAGGTCCACTCCATGTAAGCACAGGGTCATCTGTACGGTTGCAGAAATCTACTTTGCTGCTGTGGGCAGGGCACATTTCACATCCTTGCTGCTCTTTGCGTCCTCACCAGGCTCCATTGTAATATAAATAACATGACTTATAACACTCATCCAATGTGTTTTGGTTAGGGCACCATTATTTTTCCCCAGGTGTGTATAGGTAACTGTTGTCATTCTTTACCTTTGCCAACATGATGCGGGTCTTCGCTACATCCAGCGGTGTCGTGACTGCAGCTGCAAACCCACCTGAGCAGGAAAAACACAAATAAAACGTTGAGGACTGTACAAGTTCCCACAACCTCTGCCAAGACATCTCCAGTCTGGATGTTTATATATAAACTACATCAAACACATGAGGGGTCATTCTACTTCCTACTGGGAAAAAAAATGTTTCTCGTTTTCTGTGATTTTTTTTTTTTTATCGTATTATTTTTTTTCTAACCAGGCTGTATTGAGACATTATGCCCTAGACACGCATGAATGGAAATGTCCAGATGGTACCCCTTTATTACCAACCGAACGATGTAGTTATGGTTACAAAAACATGTGCTGTTCAGTTCACCTGTTAACATCTTGAGAATGTGAGGGCTCAATTTTACCTAAACTGCAGAGAGTCTTAAAGCAAACCTTTACCCCCTTTGGCTAAAATTCACATCAACGTGCAGCTCTGCATGCTGATATGAAATCATCTTACATTCATTAGTTAAACAAACAGATTTTTTATTTTACTTACAATTTCTTGTTATCTACTTCCTGGTTCTCTGTGGTGATGTAATGTGCCCAAGTAATGCAACCTGTGAAGTTTACATCAGCAGAGCATTGCTGGGAATTCTTATCTGAAATTTTGCCTAGCCGGCAATTATCTATAAGTATCTGTTTGTAGATTGGCATTACTAAACATTTCTAAAGGTGCCTTTGTTATTATTTTGAAGACATGGGTAAAGTTCCTCTAAGATTCCTCATAGCTGCTTTTGCTGCTCTCCTCTCAATTCTGCTGCTGGATTTTCCCAGAAATTTCCAGGGAATGCACTGTGGGTGTCAGGGTATTGTCCTATGTGCAGAACTATCAAGACTGTGCAGTGAAATAATCAACCAGCAAAGAATAGAATGGCTGCATATTAAAAAGTGACACTAAACTCAGGAGTTAAACCTTAAAAATGCATTTAACTATTAACAAAAATGTATCTTATTTGTGTATCAATTAGCTGTAGATCCTCAAATCATCTCCGAATTCATGCTGGCTACTTTTGTTCCCCATGGTCCCTGTTCCCCAAGCTCGCTCGCGTGATAGACTACGATCTCATGCTAATTTGTATTGAGATTGTAGTCCATCACAGGAGTAATCTTGGAGCGGTGGCTACTTTACAACACACACGGGGACCATGGGGAACAAGAGTAGCCACCCTCCAGAAGGAAGGACAGTGTCAATCTCCTGCTGCCCCTCTTTTTGCTCTGCTGCTGGATTTACCCAGAATTATCAATTGGAGGTCAGTCCAGGCCAAAATAAAAGAAAAAGTAAACATACTGTAAAAGGTTATACTGTGCTGCTGCTCTCCTTAAGACGACTGCCCTGTACACAGGCTCACAAGTTCTGTATGTTTAATTCAGCCTATTAGAAACATTTTTATACAATTGAACAGTTGTGGTCCTGTATTAGCTATGGAACACATCCAAAGTTATACTGTCAAAATAATAAACATAATTAAGTGCAATACATTTAATGTTTAGGGCCAATGGAAACCATTGCAAGCTTTGAACTCACAAGGTCCCTTTTTGTTACCATCCAGCAGAATGGGCCTTGACCCTGTTATATGGACCAAAAGTAAAGGAGACCAAAAGTAAAGGAGACCAGAACAGGTATCTACAGTAGGACCTTCCCTTAACACTCCACACAGTGATAAGGACTTTGAATTAACAAAGCCCTTAGCTCTTCAGTGAAAGTTAATAAGCTGGAAGTTGTAGATCACAGAATAGCCAAAGACCTTCCAAACTTGGTTATTTTGGCTGATAACTTATTAGTACCAACCATTAGAAATCTTTGTTGCTCCTAAAAAGTTGCAAACATTCATGGAATCCTAATCAAATTGCAAAATCCGCCTTTGGTCAGGCTGTACAAAATTCTTCTAAAATTAGGAATTAATGGCAGCCAGGGGGGCCTGGAGGGTCAACAGAAGGAGGTCATTGAATTCTGAAGGCAATTTTCCCTTCCTTCAATCTTACAGTAGACCCTCTGAGTCAACATACTGCAGATGGAAAGGAAGTGGGATAGTGGAGCTGATCTGTCTAGAAAAACATTCACGAATGATCAAACAATACAGCTCGCCTCAGAAGTATTCCCCATGAATTGACTGCAAAAGGTCAGAGTTATGTTTAGCGTGTTGACTTCATGAAAGCCTGTCACAAGGTTCTAAGAAGAGAGAAGGACGATGGTAGAGGAGACAGGGGTCACTGTTTAATCAGCAGCTGTCCACCTAGCTTTGTATCTACCAGAGGGACCTTTACAGAGATTGCTACACCACCAGGTTTCCAAAACAATTCTGCTGTTACTATGACATCATCATATACTGTATATAGAGATTGAAACCTATATAAGAATAAAACAATTGAAGGTAAACTTGTAGTAAAAATAATTAGGGCATACAATATCTATAGGACACACAGCCTGCCCGGGGCTGACTACCTGGCTTGATATTCACCAGGCCACTGTTGAAATCCTCCTGGATGGCTGGTTCTGAGAACACCACCCTGTGCAGAATTTTTAAGTGTAGTTGTATTCTCAACCCCATCCACTTCAGTAATACCTAAGAGTTGGAGGATCTATCAACCTGATTGGTATCATTATCTGGCCTCCTGTTCCTGTCCATTTACCCCAAACCCCTCCTGAGCTACCAACTACAGCACTAAAGGCAAATCAATCTTCTGCTTTTTTTTAGAACACATTTGTTTAAAGAAAAGCTATTGCACATTTCCAGAAAGAAAATGTTCATTGGTATTTGCATAATAACTATGTAAATATAATTTCTGATGCCATATCTTTATTATTATATTTTTTATAAAGAACCGAGCATATGCACCATCTAGTGGTCATCTGTATATCCTGCAATGTGATCCTTGCTTTATGACTGCTGCGATAGCTTAATTAGCCAGTGTGCTGCAGTGTTCTATAAGCCTGTAGGGTCAGCCCTGCTGACATTGTACATTTATTTTGATGCAGAGCAGAGGGAGGAGAAGGGACAAAGTGAGTGGTGCAGGTAGACTCTGAAAGAGATGATAATATCAGAGACAAAAAATAGCATTCTGGACAAGTCGTCAGATACCACTGCAGCAGCAACAACAGCACAGCATGGAAGAGAACACCCCCACCACCCCAGCCTGATTAATGGATAACAAAGGAGCAGCAGTACACTGAGAAAGTTATTCCTCTGCCCACTTGTCAGCATGTTCTGTGCTAGCACAAATGCATGCAGCAGAGGATAAATGGCTCCTACTGTTCTTCTCCCCTCTCCCAGTCTGCTGATGTGTGGGGGATTCCAGGAAGACGCATTTGCATATTTACCCTAGCTGCATTTAAAGATTTAAGAAAAACATATCCCCAGGGGAAATGGGGGGGGGGGTGTCTCCCCTTGCAGTCCCTTTACTGTAAGGGTTAACTGCTTGTAAATGTCTAGAGGAGCTGTGTAAAGGACTTTTACCTACCTGATCACTCTTTCAGACTCCAAGACCCCTACCCACAGCCTCTTGCCCCATGTGCTCCCATGGTCGAAGGCCGACTGCCGCCATCCCGTCCTGGGGAGCTGGGATCAGGTAAGTAAAAGACCTTTACATTGCATCCCTAGACATTAATGAGTAGTTAACCCTTGCAGTGGGGGGTAGCCCCACTCCAATGGCAGTTTTTTCCCCTAGAGATAGTCTTTAAAGAATACATAACTGTATTAAATGGTAGTTTTATGTTCCTAGAGCTCGGCTTTAAGCTAATTATATCTCCATATATTAAATGAAAACAGATTTTAGCTATAAGGGCCGTGCACGTTTAAGGAAACAAGACAGGTAATGAATGGCATTTACAGAGCTGATAATTTATGGCTCTGGCCGATGAGATGAAATTTGTTGGAAAGGTGGCGTTTGGCTTTAAATAAACTTAGCATTAATCAGTGATGTCATATTTGTTGCTCCTCGGCTGTCCTGATGGCTGGTCCCCCATTGCTGCTCTACTCAGGAGGTTTCTCTGGCCTGCAGGCACTGGCAGTGAATTTCTCCCAGTCTCCTGACAGCTGTTAATCTGCAGGGCTGTCAGAGCTGTCACCCGGGCTGTGAATCATGGCCTTTCTGCAGGAGTCATAGAAAGCCCTGAAGAGCAGCTGGGGGCAGACAGCTGCACGGCCCTGCACTCACAATGGGCCTCTCCCCTTCCTGCACATTACAGGCCCCGATGACTGACAGCTCTTCTGTTTTCAGCAACGCAAATTTGTCAAAAAACAAATTGCTGTCTTTAAACCTCCAACACCTTCCCCCCCCTCTAAATACCTTCTCTGGAGTGACCTCTGTGATACTATACAAGCGGAATCATCAGTGTCTGAAGCGCTCTTGGTTATACTGGATGGCTGACATGGAACTGCAGGGTCCCAGCATGCCTTGCTCCAAACCACGGCTAGGTCATCGATAGCCATAGTGAATGAAAGCATGTTCAACAAAGGTTCATTATAGAAATCAATGCTTATTCTTTAGAACTTTTATATAGGAAAACACAATCACGTGGCCAACTTATTAATGCGCGTGGAGTTTTTTTTCATATACGCTGATTTATTAAATGAAAGTGGAGTACTTGGTGCCAGGTACCACCACTTACAGGGTTTCCCAGTGCCATATGCAGAGTGCCAGCAATGTGTCAAGTGCTAGAATGCTCTCTGCATTCCAGCAACCGGCACTGAAAGAAGCCTCTGCCCAGCATATATAATCAAACACTGGCACAGGGAGGTGGGCGCAGGCATCTTCTTGCTGCAAGAATGGCACACAGCTCGATCATCAAAGCTGCACACGCTTCCTCTGATACCTTGAAGATCTTTTTCTTTTTTACAAAGTGCCCCACTAGACCACCAGGGAAAGTAAAGGACTTTTTCCAGCCAGCCACAGACCCCCAATGCTGGGGGGGGGGTATTTACAGCCAGCCACTGACCACCAATAATGAGCAATTCTGGGCCAATGCTGGTGGGGGTAATATTTACAGCCAGCCACTGACCACCAATGCTAGGTGAGGGAGTGCATTTTTACAGCCAGCCCCCAACCACCAATATTGGGCAATTCTGGGCCATTGTGGGGGGCGGATGGGTGTTGCTAATATCAAGTCAAAATAAATATTTTTGGAAGACCTGTAGTGTGTTGATGTTTTATCCCTTTAGAACATAAACGCACTGCAAGTACAGAAAAAATGTTCTAGAATTATAGTGTGCTCCTACCTTCCTGTTTGACATGACAGCACAGTGTATTTTGGCTGTGAATTCCAAAGCATGTGGTGTCAGCCCTGCCTACTTCATTATTGATAGATTACAAAGAGCATAGACCTTTCTTCATCTCATAACCCTTCTTCATCTCCTCCTTCCTCCTCATCTCCATAGCTCCACCTCAACTCTTCCTCATCTCCATAACCCCTCCTCGTCTCCATAACTCCTCTTCCTTATCTCCTTAACCCCTCTCCACCTCTTCAATTCCATAACTCTCCCATCCCCATAACCCCTCCTTATCTCCATAACCCTCTCTCAATTCTTCTTCTTCATCTCCATAACCCCTCCTCCTCATCTCCATAGCCCCTCCCCATATCTTCCTCATCTTTGTTACAGCCTATCTCCAAACCCCTCCCTCTTATCTCCATAACTCCTCCTTGTGTACAGGCGCAGAGCACAGGAAGTTTAGAAGATTTCTGGCAGAAATAACTGTTATTACTCTGTCCTTATTGAACAGATAGAACAAAACACTTTCAATGGTATTTTTATTGAACCAAAAGGGAGCAGCTAAGAGAAGTTCTTTGTTAGGGTTTACATACCCTTTAAGGGCTCACTCACACCAGTTCTGTGTAGCTGTATTGATCTGCGCAGATTAATGTAGGCCCAACACCAGGGCACATAGAGACCAATTGTTTTCTATGTGCCCTGCTTACACTACAACACTTTCTTGAGGTGGGCTGCAGTGTGTTGCAAGATATCCCATCTTCCTGCAGAACACACCAGAAAAAAAAGTTCTCACCAAGAAGCATATTGATAAGAGAGAACAGAGTGACAGAGAGATGAGCTCATCAGTCTTCTGCTTCTCCTTTCACTGTCCAGTCACAGTGTGGCGGAGGGACAAGACTTGTATGGGAAATTATATGCAGCAGAGAAAAATCTGGCCTCCTCCCTCGCCTTCCAAGACTGTGCTGTGCAGTTGAGCTGTGTAAATCTCAGAACTGGGCAGACAGGAACACAAACCTATGAACTGCTCCCTTATGGACATTTCATCTGTGTTTTTAGCGATTTGCCTGGAGTTGAGCTTTAAATGTTGAGGAACGAGCTGCGCTTTGCTGAAACTTGTGGTCCTCTGACAGCTGGAGGGCCACAAATGGCCCACAACTGCTCTGAACAAACTGTCTTTATGAAAGAATGCTGCATCGAATGAACTTAATACCGTTTTGCTGATTTCCCCCTCTCATGTGTGTCCCCCCGCTTCCCCGGTTTAACATATAATCCTTTGCACCTGCAAAAGCTCCACAGACTGCAGACTGCCAAGAATCGAGCGGACGGCCCTGCTTCCAAGACCAGAGATCCTGGAACGAGAAACAGAAGAGAAATAAAGAAAAAATAAAAAGTCACTGAATGACTGAGATCATTCGCAATCCTCAACATTTCATGGATGGGAATTGATGTAAGAGGTCACGGGAAATTCTGTGGGTCAGCCTTGGGAAAGCTGGGACTCGCCAGCTGTTGTGGAACTACAACCCCCAGAATTGTCCTCTAGTCTTCACAGAACAACATTGCACATGGTATACAGCTTATTAAAGGCACCAAGATTTTCCTTGAAGGGCCACTAGAACCCAAATACATTTAAATGACATGCATAGTTTGGAAGGGCTATATTACCGCATACAAGCTAACGACAGCATACAGATCAAGTATTTTGCAAATTGATGCATAAAGCAAATGTCTGAGGATAGAAATATGGGAAAAGCTGCCATTACCAACTTGTTGTTAACACAGCGCCCCCTCCCATTTATATATATAGATATATACATATATCTATATATACAGTATATAGATATATATATATATCTGTAGCAGTACTCACCTTATCCACCCTTCCCTCCGTTTCATCCTCCACCACACGTCATCTCCCATCACCGGGTTGAATGACAGCCAGAATCATTCACCCTCATTCTGTGAGCCCAGGCTGTCATTGGACACACCCCCTGGGGGTGCATCATTACCCCTGGGCTAACAGTACCTCAGCACTGAATGTTTTGCAGTAAGGATTGCCAACCCCTGAGCAAAAATAGGAAGGACCCATGATGTTACCAAACTTACCAAAAGACACCTGGAAGTAACAGGCAGAACAGAGGAGCTGGAAGGACTGGGGGCAGGGTGCATGAAATGGGCTTTAACGTGAACCTGTGCTGTGCCTATGCAGGGTAAGCAACAGGTTCACTTAATGGTCATCATTCCCTATTGCACATACTTATCTCCCCTTCACTCCCTGCTTCTTTTGGCCCCTGAGAGCAAAGAGATGAAACCCTGTATAAAGCTGGATATACACTGTTAGAATTTTGTCCGATTCACAAGAAACAGCTGGTGAGAGCTTACAAGAGCAGAAGACTCTCTCCCTGCCCATGTGACATCACTGGGTGGCCAATTACCAAGCAGCACTGTTGTCACATGGGAGGAAGGGGAATGAGACACTTGCATCTCTATTCTTGGGAGTAACAGGTATTGTTTTTCCGTCCCAGTGGCTCTGCATGGGCAAAGTAGAGGTTCCCATGAAATCACTCTTCAATGAGTTACTAGTCTAGCCATGTAGTTCTTCCAGGTCAGTGATGCACTAAATAGAAAAACAAGGAAAGGCAAGGATGAGGAGGACAGGGCTTTCAAAAATTATTTAGCAATGACAAATCCAATGTTTTTACCCTGGCAGGTTATCTGTCAGCAAAGGCTGGCTCCACATTGTCTTCAGACCAGTTCTACATGGATTCTTACCCCATAAAAAATTAATTCCATTGCAGGAGGAGAGCCAGCTTGCCCGCTGTGGTACCATGCCCACCATAGTAACACAGCAACATCACCTCCTCCACCTAGATACATTAGCATAATCTCTATCCCAGAATTCTGCCCTGGGTCCAATACCAGAATGCTGCCCTGGCTCCAATACCAGAATGCTGCCCTGGCTCCAATACTTTCTAAAAGCCATTTTTTTAAATAAGTGACAAATCCACTTACTCCAAAATAAACATAGTAAATCACTGAGTGGTTAAAATGCACCCTGACACCAAAGAAAGAGGCCGGAAAAATGGTTCTAATTTTTCCGTAGAGTCGCACAATTATCATACACCCCAGGCACAAACGCTTCTGTGGAATGTGTGTGTATGACATGCACTCACTGATCTATAACCTACAGTGTTCAGTGTCATTTAACAATAAAGTAATTATACTGCAATAGAGTGTATAAGCGATCTATAATAAGCCCATAATCCCCACTACATAATGCAATTATTGCAGGCTAGCCGTGATGTAGTAATACACTGTAATTACCTGCCATTCATACCTACAGAAAGGGGGAAATTTGTAAACCATTTTCCAAATCATTCTGTACGGAAACCTTGTTTTCATTTCTTTGCAATAAAAAAAAAGGGAAAGCAGATTTGTTTGGAATCGTGTTGTACATTGCCTGTGCAGCGAGCAGAGCTTTAGGTTGGGCCCAGCAGGTCCAGCTATTTCAGGTTGCCTGTTGAAATCTACAGAATAGGGCTGATACAAGGCCAGTCACCCTGCACAAGGAGGAAGAGCAGCAGTGACCGGTCTTTACTAAAAACGTTTGCAGAGAGGTCACGTGCAGGATTACTGCACTGATCTGGAAGAAACACACAACAGACATCAATATTCAAGTAAGTATACCCATGCCTCTTGTATTTAGACACTAAGGGGGGAATTTATCTTTATTTCAAGCCCTAGAGATATTTCTCTCTGACAAAATGGCCGCCTTCTCCTGTGTGTATATGTTGCCTGTCTATTTTAATGATGTTAAATATAAATGATGCCCTTGGCAGTGCGCCAGCTGATATTCAGTAAACGTACAACACACAGTAAGAAGATGGATGGCACTGGAGGGAGGCGCGTGGGTCCCGTATGCGTTCGGCATTTTGCAGGATGTGCTATAGACAAATTCTCTGCTTATATTTAAAGACAAAACACAGAAGAAGCCTTTGATTCGCTTTTGGCTTCGGGAAGCTGATCCCAACAGGCCACTTACGAATACTTATCCTAGCAGCTTGCGTTTCTGGGGAAACTCTCTACAGAGGAAGAACTTGTGGCATTGACAAATTGATGGCTACAGCACAAACACAAGACATTCTCTGCACCTGACAAAAGACGGAGGATTAGAATCTGAGAAAACATGAAGTCTGCCCGTGCTGATCTTTCCACCTCTAAATGCTAGTTGCCTGTCTGTTAGAATGACCCGCTTCAATACTTGGGGATAAGGACAGATCCTCTCTACCTACCTGTTTGGGTTGAGTGACTTAAAGTGGACCTTCCCCCATAAAATGAACTTTCTCCCATTTGCTTCCTTCCTCATATACAATTGTAAATAGTTCAATATTATTTTGAAAAGTAAATACCTTTCTTTTTAATACAATGGTTTGGCCCACCACTTCCTTATTCCTCGGCTAAGCAAAGATGACATATGAATGGCACCCCACTGAAAGGCCAGTCACTGCCTCCTGGGAAGTCCACATCACACATCCCAGGAGACACTGTTTCTCTAAGGCTTCATTCACACTATGCGAATGTCCCATTTAGCTGCAGCCACTGTACCCAATCAAGTTAAAGGAGAAGTATTGGGAGAGTAACATGTTCTCTTCCCAATACTGCAGGTGTCACATGCTGGCTCTATAGATCAAAAGCTGAGCGTTCACGAACCGCTGATGGCACAGCTCGCGGTCTTCTTCCTGCAGAGAGAGCGGTGATGGTCAGCCACCACTCCTTGCACAGATCCCCCCCTCTCTGTTCCTCCAGCGTTCATTAAAGGGACAGACAAGGGAAGGGGGCGGGCACAGCTGGCTCTAGAGAGGCAGAGCCAGCTGTCAATCAGGCAGTGGGGTGGACCCCGACAATATTGCTGGGTTCTTTCCCAGCTGCAGTGGGGCTCTGCGCTGTCAGCATAGATGGCAGTATCCCACTATATGCTGACTTTGGGTCACAGGAGTACATTAGTAAATGTACTTATTTGACCCAAAGCAGGATTAAAGTCAAAAAACGTTTTGCCTTTAGTTCTCTTTTAATGACTGGGTGACAGCGTCCTCATCAATAATCCAGGGACAGTGATTTATTCCAAATCACATGTAATAGTATCCCATACGGTTACATGTGGACTACTGCTCTCAGATGTGGCTGCTGTCACCCGGTCATTAAAAGGTGTCCTCCCGTTATCCTAAGGAGAACTATGGGGAAAAGCCCTGACCCCATAGTTCTCCTTTAACTAAGCTAAACGGAACATCTGGGATTCCTGCAGTAGGAATCGGTAGGTTCCTGCGGCAGGAATACCAAATTGCATAGTGTGAATGTATCATGCAGTTTTCATACTTCGTTCCCCACGATATCCCATGCAAGCGCAGACATGCTATAGGACTCTACCAGTCCTATAGACTCTACTCTACTATGGGACCATAGGCATGTCTGTACATGTGCATGATATACCACTGGTCTCCACTTTTTAAATAATTGCCAAAGGCCTGTGGCATGCATGCGACGCACAGGATCCCGTGCGTGCACAGACACGCCACACACAGGTCTCTACCAGATATATAGAACCTTGCGTCTGGTACATCAGTGCATGCATGGAAGACAACGCCATTGTCTGTACTTGGGCTTCAAGGAAGACATCGCTTGACTCCATGGCCTAGTACGGTTTTGTTTGTTTATATTTATTATCATACAATTGAGATGGGAATGAGTTGTACCCAGGCATGGTATCGTTTCTCTTTATTGTATAAAGTCAGCGGGTGAGCTTAGCACCCAGGAAACTAACATTTGCAGCAATGGCAGCTTCTTTATTCCTCTTATGACAGGTTCACTTGAAACATCTGTGCTGGGTGGACCGATCCTTACCCACCTCGTGTCCACGAGAGTCACTTTATGTACAAATACCATTTCTTTGTTTTATTTCAGTTGGAGGAGAATATAGAAATCGCATTCCGTGAATATATCAAACATGCACATTCTAGTCCAAACACTCCAGCCGCACGATACAGCATTTAACCTTATGCTAAGACAGCATATACTCCAATGGCACATGAACACAAATACTAAGACAGCATATACTCCAGTGGTACATGTACACAAATACTAAGACAGCATATACCCCAATGGCACATGAACAGAAATACTAAGACAGCATATACTCCAATGGCACATGAACACAAATACTAACACAGCATATACCCCAATGGCACATGAACACAAATACTAAGACAGCATATACTCCAATGGCACATGAACACAAATACTAAGACAGCATATACTCCAATGGTACATGAACACAAATATTTACAAACGCTTCTTCCTTACCTTTAGATATTCCCACAGTGGAAACTGGACCAAAGAAAATGGGATCTAAAAAAAATGATAAAAAACAATTGTAGATAAGAGGCTTTGTAAAACCTTTATGCTGATTGGCTCATATTTTTTTCATATTTTTTTCTGCCACCCAGCACAGCCCTGTATAGTATAACAGGAGACCGGATTTTTCTCTTACCCGCCGCAGATCGCCCGTCTGAATGAGGACTGATCCCCACCAATGAATCTGATTTGACCTTTCACTAATCCGCTTACAGCAAACCGGAAACTCATAGACTGCTGCCAGTTACTACACTCCGCAGAGTTTCATGAAATAAGCCGGTTGCTCTTTACAGTGACACATACGGCAGCATTGAAAGAAATAGGACCTATGTGTGGCCTCCCTTCTAGTAATTACTAATCGGGTTTAACCTCACTGGATTTTACGTACCAGCCACCATTCTGCAACATGTCAGAAGTTCTGGCACGTGTCTGGATGGAAGTAAACTCATAAGAGCCCAATAGAACCTTCTCTATCAGTGTCTGTAAGGCCTCATGCACATGGGCCAGTGGCAAAAACATATAGACAGGAATCCCAGTTGGCTCCGTACACATGCAGCCACTGTGCCCATTCAAGTCAATGACGGTGGGTGTGCACATGGAACAATTAACTGCAGATCGGGAGACATGCTTGTCCTGGGATGCAGTGAGATTGTGTCCAGGGGCAGGTACCATTACCAGGTAATCTTACCATGTACGATTACATGCGGACTCCCATCGCCATTTACTTGAATGAGCACAGCGGCCGCATCTGTACAGACCCAAATGGAATTCCTGCTACAAGAATCTAGAGCAGTGGTTCTCAACCTGTGGGTCGCGACCCAAAAGTGGGTCACAATCCACAGTTGAGGGGGTCGCCACATGCTTTGTGCTGCACTGAGAGGCTTCTCAGCCTCCTCCTAGAGCAGCAGTGTCAGTTCTCCGGGCTGCGCCGATAGATGATGCTGCAGCACCAGCGGCCAGGAGGATCAAAGAGAGGGGAAAGGGCGTGAGTGAGGGGAGTTGAGTGCCGGCTTGATCACCACAGAGCCTGCACTGGCCACCAGTGCCCGCACTGGCCACCACAGAGCCCGCACTGGCCACCACAGAGCCGCAAGAGAGACCCACTGACCACCTGTGAGTCCACACTGGCCACCTTAGAGCCCACACAGATACTAGTATTGGTGCATTCCTAAATTTTACCATTGGGGTCACCACAACCTGGGAAATTTCGCCAAGGGGTCCCGGCCTTAGAAAGGTTGAAAACTACTGATCTAGAGGTTCTTGCTGCAGGAATCTCCACATGCCCCTGTGCATGAGGCCCAATGTAGTCAGACTACATATACAGTAATAAATAGTCTGCTGCTTTGGAGGGGTTAGCCACCAGGTCCTGCAACAAGGGTTAAAATCCATTGTGTGGGCAACATATTGGAGAGTGGTATTCCTGCGGGCCTGGGTCTCCAGCTGTCTGACAAGCCTGTCTGCACAGTGCTCCAATCGCCATCACTGTTGATAGGAGCAGTGTGGGGGCACCTGGAGACCCTGCCATTGCTTCTGCATGACATATATAACTATTGAGAGCCGGCTTGATTCTGCTTAGCCGGGAAACGGGCTTCCCAGGCAATCGGCATGGAGCTAGCTTGCCGGAGAATTAGGAAGCCGGGTGGTGGGTCATTACTCACCGCCCAGCTTTCTGATCGCACTGGAAGCTGGCTCCATGTTCCCCCTTCCCCTGACCAGAAGTTCCAGTATCTGAGAATTTGGGCGACTACTCGCCCGAATACTCGGTATCAGCACATCGGTGCATCCCTAATTAGAGGTATGAGAGCACCACTTGGTAGATTCAGTCCCATAATAATTTCATTTTGCACCAACAATAATCAATTGTGTCCGGGTTTCATGGCAGCAGAAACCCGGACACAAGATTTCAGGCAGACAGGGGCAACCAAAATCAAGATGGGGGCTACTAGCCCCCCACTGCAAATAGTCTCAAATGTTATATTTACATATGAATGGGTGGCGCTATTTACATATGAATAAGCCACCACTCATTCTCCCAAAATAATGTCCGCGTGTTGCTAGAGTGTTCGGGTTTCACTTGAAGAAAAGGTGGCAACCCTATAGACTATACCTGTAAAACTATAGGGATTATATGAGACCCGGGTCACTAGGCTAGCAGCAGCTGAATACAGGAATCATTGAATCATCGCGACAGCCAGGCAACTCACAATTTCAGATTAGCAGCAGCCTGCATATTTCAGGACAGGTTCCCTTTAGTGGGGTGTGTTTAGACCTCTCTCCGTTCTAAATCATTCTGCTTTTTAATCATACTGACGTTCCCCTTTTAAGAGGTCTGAACATCTGCTCGCATGTGGTTATTTCAGATCCAAAGTCAGCGCCAAGAACGATTACATTGCCGTACAAAGCGGGACAACAGAAAATGAGATCTTATATCTGGTGGTAACTGTCACGGTGCTGGTGGGTGTCCATTTCCTCCGGCTCTGCCCGAACCACGGATAACGTTCCGTGATGATTGTTTTACACATACAACCTAATACAGGCAGAGTCAGCCTGTCTGCTGGCTCCAGTCGCACTTTTCTGCCTGCCCCTGCCAATCGGTTTTGCAGATGCATGTTTTTTGGTTCGGTGCACCCACACAGACTTCAGCTGCAGATCTGGAGATGCAAGGCGGATAAAACATACGCAGTAGAGATGTACTAAGCAGTATTTGCATCTCAACTAGACACATATGTTTACAAAAAACACAAACGCTCAAGTTGTTAAGTTCTGGTCTGCATATTAGCTGCCCTCACTGCAAGGCACTCAAGAGATCATATGGGCTTCATGCGTGTGTACAAGTACCGTATATCTAAACCCAAGAACAAAAATGTAATATATTGCAGCTTACTAGTCCTTAGACGTGGCGGCATTCATTTTCCTTTTTCCCTTTATATTCACCTGGTGATCCTGCCATTAACACACTCCCTGTGCTAGAGTGACAACCCTCACTAACCGTACTGTATCTATGGAGGAGCAGCGTTGTCACCCTATAAATGGAAGTGTTTTAGAATTACTATCATCTCCATAACACAAGGGAAGGGGTTCTGTAGTCCACAGTGATAGCTGGGAACAATGCTGACCCAGAAGAAGTAGAGAGCGCAGGAAGTTATCAGCTCACATGATTTCTGGCAGGATCAACAAGTATCTTTTAGCACTTATCACACAGATACTACAAAACACTTTAAATGGTATACTTAACAGAGTGAAAGGAAGCAAATAAGAGGAGTTCATTCATAAAGTTTACATACACTACGTGGTCTATATACATATAATAGCTCATTCGTGCATAGCTTATTCATCCAGCAACACTACAGGTACACTGGTTCTGTGTGAGTTAACTAGCAGTTGTGAGAATAGGGCAAAATTGAATGTTCTTAGTATATTTCCTCTTCTGGTTGATTGTTCTTCAATAGGTATATTCATAAAGAGCAGAGTGAATGAGGAAAATACCACATTATGGCCACTAGGTGGAGCCAAGGATCACCTGAGATTCACTGTCACAATTTAATTGAACGCTGGAGGGAATGAGCATATAAATGTAACCATTGATACTACGGGGATAGAAATACTTTCATTCATATGCTCATTCTCTCCAGTGCTCTCTTGATTTGTAACATTGAATCCTATTACTTACATGTATGACAAATCTGATGATTTTGTACAATGCGCAGAAGTATCAGTTGGTTTTTACCACGTACAGCCAGTGTGACTGAGCCCTTAATGATAAAAGATGGCGCTTTTTACAAACTGATACCCTGATATACTGTGACAAGTCAGGAATGTGTTTGTGAAGAGTTTGAAAGTTATGACAGGTTCACTTTAACTCACCAACACGGCATGTGTTCTATCATAGTTTGTGACTACGTTGGAATGTGTGACTGGTCACGTGGTTACACATTTTAACGTAATCCCGCCCAGTTTTACAGCGGTGGAATGTGTGACCACCCATTAGGTCAAGCACTCCAACGATTTGTCAACTGTTCCAGGGCAGATCGGCATCGCAGTTCGCATGTGCAGGAGAACCGATCTGCATTAACTTATCTGCCTGGAACAGCTGATTGGTCCTTAAATGTCACTTCTATCCGACTTTGTGAGTGCAGTGGAATGTAAGATTGCACTCACAGAGTCGGATAGAAGTAACATTTGAGGACAGATCAGCTGTTCCAGGCAGATAAGGTAATGCAGATCAATTCTCCTGCACATGCGCAGTGAGCCGATCTGCCCTGGAACAGCTGACAAAACGTTGGAATGCTTGACCTAATGCTTCCACCGCCGAAAAACTGGGCGGGATTACGTTAAAATGTGTAACCGATCACAGAATCCAACGTAGTCACAAACTTTAATAGAACACCTTGCACCACTTCACAAACATGGGTTTCTCTGCCCTACGCGTCTGTATGATTTGCAATCCACAAACAAGTTTAAAGAAATGACACAAGTTATGAAGATGAAAAGCAAGCGTCATGGAGAAGTCATCTGAAGAACCCTAGAGAGACGGGAAGGCGATCGACTTGGCAGTTCTTGGCTGGGATCTCCCCCCAACTGCGACGGTTGCGTTACAAGACCAGTGCCAGAAACACAGTTGCATAAAAAACAAATCCAGTACGTTAAATTTCCCTGAAAATCCAATACAAAGTCGTGTAATAAATCTAAATGGGAAACAAAGCGAGCAATCCGATCTCCGTATGTACGAGAACATTTTAGGACAGATACATTTCGCCCAAGGACGGCGGCTCAGGCGCACTCTTAAAAACAGCTGACAAGTGGCTTTAGGACAACCGAAATATCTGGCTACTCCATTGACCTTGTTCAGGGGGAAGCGGCATGGTGGATAAGAGTTATAAAATTATGGATTTTGTCTATGTGAGTCTATGACGTCATGAAGAGCGGAATGTACAAAGTATTCTCAGTTTCCTGTCTGTGATCTAGTACCCGGCACCTTTTATATATCTGGCTGA